CGCCGGCAGCCCCGCCGCCCTCCCCTGAGGAGACCGCCTTCCTGGCCGTGCTCATCACGAGCGGCCCCAAGTACAGCGAGCGCCGCAGCATCATCCGCAGCACGTGGCTCTCGGCCGCCGGGCGCCCCCCTCACGACGACATCTGGAGCCGCTTTGTGATCGGCACAGGTGGGCTCGGGGCAGAGGAGCTTCGTAGCCTGGAGCTAGAGCAGAGCCGGCACAGAGACCTCCTCCTTCTGCCAGAGCTGCGGGATTCCTACGAGAACCTGACTGCTAAAGTCCTGGCCACGTACGTCTGGCTGGATCTGCACCTGGACTTCCAGTTTGCCCTGAAGGCCGACGACGATACCTTCGTACGCTTGGATGTGCTCGTGGAAGAGCTGAGAGCCAAGGAGCCGCGTCGCCTCTACTGGGGCTTCTTTTCTGGCCGCGGTCGAGTCAAATCCGGTGGCAAATGGAAAGAGAGCGCCTGGGTGCTCTGTGACTACTACCTACCGTACGCTCTGGGTGGTGGTTATGTGATTTCTGCAGATCTGGTGCACTATTTGCGTCTTAGCAGAGACTACCTGAACATGTGGCAGAGTGAGGATGTTTCCCTGGGGGTGTGGCTGGCTCCCATCGATGTGAAGAGAGTGCACGACCCTCGTTTTGACACTGAGTATAAGTCACGAGGTTGCAACAATAAGTACATAGTAACTCATAAGCAAAGCATCGAGGACATGCTGGAAAAGCACCAGACCCTGGCTAAAGAAGGAAAGCTCTGTAAGGAGGAGGTTAAGCTCAGGCTTTCCTACATGTATGATTGGGGAGTGCCTCCTTCACAGTGTTGCCAAAGGAAGGATGGCATCCCGTGAAAGCCTGAGGAAGGAAAAGGCAGAATGTTGATGGACTCTCTTGAGCGTGGTTACGGTTACTTGGGGAGAATCCCAGTAATTAGGGCTTAAAAATTACTCAAAAGATTTTGCACGATTCATTATGTCACAATCAATGAAACCCTGAAACTCCTAAGAGCTACTGATGTGGCATGATGTAGAGATGCTTAAAAAAAAAAAAAAAAGACAAAAAGCATGGAAAGGCTCATATGACAGGATTGAAGGCAAATAATTGGTTGCAAAATACAGATAGTACAGAAAATTTGGGGGAGATAACTTGGATGAAAAGTTGCTGGAAGATTTTTAACAGAACCTAAGATTTATTTGCTAAAGATCGTGACAGGCCTTTATGCTATCTATAAGATTGTGAAACTAGCATCTGCTGTTTATTTCTTGGCAAGGAACAAGTGTCAGTTTGGCAAGGTTTGAAGATTCTAATGGGGCCGCAAATCAGTTGCTATTGGCAGTGGGAACAGGTGACTGGTTATTGACACAAGCAGTCAAGTGAAGGGAACAATTTCACGTAGGATATTCGCGTTAGGGGAGGGAGAGAGAGTCTGTTCTTTGGCGAGTGCTCTGATTTACAAGAATGGAATTATTAGACCTTCTGTGTAACTTGTCTCTAAGCTTTTTGTTGTTTTAAAGAGTAAGTCTATATTTAGAAAGGTGGATGAGTTATGGTATTTGGCAGATAGAGAATACATTATCTTATTTTGGGATCAAATAGTTATGCTACAAAGCTAGCCTTCAGTTGTTAGGCATAGGTGTTGTTCTTAGCTTATCCTCCAAACATACCATGTATGAAGAAACATCTCGTCTCCCAACAGTAAGTAATCTCACTGACTACTACAAGGTCAGACGTTGTAGGCTTCAGGCTTATATTGTTCCAGATTGCTTCTGTAAAATGTAAATTAGCAGGATTAGATCAGTGGAAGCTATTCAGAGTTCAAACAACGTTGCCCTAACGTGGGTACCTCAGCTAAGAAAGTAAACTCTGTATGTAGTCAAGAGAAATAGGTTCCCCCCACCCCCCAAATTCCTGTTTGAGGAGAACCTTGTCTCTCTTTTCAGGAGCTACCCTGCAATCTAAGGAGACTAATCCCCCAACAGTCACATTTAGATGCCCGAAGCTAGACTGTGTGGATTCTCCGCTTCTCTCCAATAGCACCTTATAGTGGAACTAAAAATAATCTTACAGGAGGTCTAAGTTAATTGCTCAAGTGATATGTCAATAAATGGGATCATGTCCCTTAGTCCTGCCTACACTACAAATAATTCTAGTACTGACAGCTTCTCAGCATCAGGTGCGGTATTGAAAGCAGACAGGACATTCTTGGCTGTAGAACAGATCACTTCTTACACAATTTCGCCATATTACTTATCTGCAAACCGTTAGGTAAGCCTGTAATTCAAACATTTTTGAATAGCAGGTGCTCTAATACACAGAAATATTTTTTTTCCAGTACTAATACAGAGCTACTGACTTCCAGTAACCTTTGTCAGCTACAGATCTTTCAGTATAAGCAGAGTTTTTACTTTTATGCCTGAAGGGCATTCTTAATTATCAGTTTTACTGTTTGTTGCACACTGCACTTTCATACAATTTCATTTCCTCCTCTTGTCTCATTTCATTTCCTCCTCTGTTCCCACCTGCAGGAAGAGACAAATTGCAAAGAAAAAAAAGGGTGCTAGTATCTCTGTATTTTTGCTTCTTAAATTATCAAGTTAGCAATTCATACCAAAGGAATCAAGTATGGGTGTTTTGTTATTCTTCTCTTGTTTTGATTAAATTACTGAGGATTAAGAGAAGTCTTCTGCAGAGGCTGATAATTCTCTATTTCGAAAATCTGAACAGATCTTTGACTTCCTTCTAAAACAAAGTTAAATTAAGATACTGACAAAAATAAGTTATTTTAGCATGTGTCCCTTCTAATGCATGCTTATGTATTGACAGATAGGCAGATGTGCTTTTCAGCAAGGCATACTATTCCAAAACAAGAATTTTACAAGATTTCAGGAAAATTGAATTGGTTTTAGCATTTTAAAAAATATCTGTTTGCCATTTGGGGTTCACTAGTATTGTGTGTATATATGTGATTAAATGCTTCTAACGTGAGTATTTATTTATAATTATTGAAGATGTATTATGTATAGGAAATAGGATATTAAATGTCATTTTAAATTTGTTTAAGGAGGTACTGTAATGTCCATGAGAATTACATATCAAGCAGTGCTTGAATTTATTGGTGTACAAGCCATTATTTAAAGTACCAGGATCTGAACTGCGGTTCAAAAGTCTGCTGCATGTCTCTTAAGCTAGTAAGAATGTACCGTTCATCCATTCCTACCAATAACCGTGTTCATGGAAGTTGTTTACGTTGTTGACTTTGACTCTCCCTGCCCACAACGCCCATCCCCACCCCCCAAAAAAAAAAGTGGTTTTCATTGCTGGCAAAATCAATGGCAGAGAAATGCTGGATTTCCATCTGGTATTTGACCCCACGGAAGACATTATGCATACAAATACTTAATAGTTAAGAAATTCTCTTGAGGAGTTTCTTGCACAAGTGCCAGGAATACAGCGTGCGCCCTGAAGCACCCAGCGTAGCAGATCTCTTGGCAGCAGCGCAGCCCGTTGCCGGCCTCGGTGCACTGCCCGCATACTTGCAAGGTGAAGCTCAGGAACGACGGTGACCACTCTTGCGTTCTTGGTACCCGCATCTCGGTCTGGCACAGCTTCGTTATACCCTTTTCTCTTCAAGGTTACCCATGCGTCGCTCTAGTTGCACAACAAATTAACATGGAAGGCTTGACGGATTCTTGTCCTTTAGTAAATGGTTTTAGTTTTCTTAGTAGACGCCCCCTTACTGCAAATATAGCGATTAGCTTTCAATCCCAGTTAACTGGGAAATTCCACTAAAGTAAAAGATGAAGTGTTTAAACTTTTTTGGTATTTTAAAAGCAAATTGAATCATTTGGGAGAGAGCAGATATCCCACATGTTGTGTGGAAAAACCCAGAAAAACATTAACTAGCACAGGATTATTTTTTTTATATTTTACTAGAAAGAATTTGAAAGTGAAAGACCTATTGATGTTATTTTGAATAATTGAAAAACATCTGAGTATTGCATGAGTGAGTCACGAAAGTTTTAAAGTTTCAATCCAAAATTCATTTTTGAGCCCATTTTTTTCTAAAGCAAAATATAAAGCACATTTTGAACAACATACGAATTGAATATTTTAAAAGAAGTCATTAAAGGCTGTCTTTCGTACCTCCTCAGGATCGGGTTCCGTATTTCCTGACATCATCTCAGAAATCTAGTATATGATGTTTCTGTACTTGAAAACCATGATGTAATCTTTGTCTCTCTTGAAAGTCAGGGGGAGGAGTCTGACTTCAGTGGGTCCAGCATTTGGGAGGATGTTTAAGTGCTGCTGAGAAATAAGCGGGTTTTGGCCTTTGTAGCAGCTGTGTTAGACTGGAAAGTTTGGTTGTGGGCCTTAGCGAAAGCGAAGTTATCCAGGAACAGATTTATCTTCTTTTTTTGTAGCCATTCTTAGTGGCGATAGGTTAGTGATTTGTTGGGCTTTTTATTTTTTTAAATAGTGTTTCTGCTGGTTTCCAGGTTTTCTCTTCATAAATACTGTGCATTTTTAATATTATTGTTAGTATGGGGAAAAATTATCACCTCAGCTTTTCTAGATATCAGTGTGTTACGCGCTATAAGTTAGGCAACTATGTCAAGTCTGTAAGCTTATGTTAGTATCCGTTCAGGACTACCATTGAGTTGGTCTGTAACACTATTGAGCTTTTTGTTATTGTTTACAGATTTTTTTTTATTTATTTATTTTTAAATCGGGCATTTAGCATTCTACCAGAGCTACTAGATACAGTAGAGAAATTAATTGTTCATGACGTGTCCTATCTGTGATCATACCTAAGACTTGATACTGAAATATTTAAAGCTGACAATGGCATAAACTTAACTAGAAAGTTGATTTTATTTTCCAGTTAATTTTTTTTAAGTTATGTGCAACATTACTTAATTACTTTAGTGTGTAAAAATAAGTAGCTAAAACATTAATTTCCATACTAAATAAACTAACAGTTCCACTTAAAGAACCCTCAGGCTTCCAAGAATTCCTATAGTCAGTTCAAGATTTTTAAAAAAACCAGCCCAACTTAGAAATTACTATTCCTGTAGCTGAATACTTTCTTTTCTGAATGTCTAGCCTTGTTCGTGTGAAGTTTGCTCAAATACAGCTTCTATGTGTCGTACTTTTGATAAATGTTACATTTTCTGTAGTTGAAATGCCTTTTTTTTGAGCATTTAAATTTGTATTTCGTATCTGTTAACGCTAATGTTTTGGGGGCCAAGGTGTTAGCTTTGCAGATTTGATTAAAAGCCCAGCAGCACGGGAGGGTGATGAAGAGTTGCATCTCTATTAGTTTCTGTTCAGCTCCAGCATCAGAGTTGAAATATGTTTTTGGTATTGCTGTATGCTTGACAAGCTGTCAACACCTACACTGCTATAAATTTTATTTAGAACACACTCCCTGCAAGACTCAAATCTGTTGCTACATGTACCTGTGTAAAATATACTTTTACCTTGGAACTGGAACTACTTTATGCCAACATAATATGCCAGTTATTACTTTCTAATACAGACTATTTAGGTAACATCTAGTAAAACTTGGAAACGGACCAGTCTGTTACTTATAGCCTGTCTGAAGCTGAAGGATACTACATAATAAGCGTGCCTTTATGAAGAAGAATTAGCGTGGGGTACTGTGCTGAGTATCTTTTAAAGAATTGAATGAAATTGCACATTTTTTGCAGCCGCATAACTTTACCATTTGGGGGTGGGGTGTGGCACACAGTCCATTTGCTCAGCATTTATATAGGAAATAAACTGCTAGAAACCTGAAGCTATCTGTGATGATGAAAACTCTTGGTAATTGCGTAAGCGTATTGTATATGTATTTATGTCCTTTCATGTATGCCTTCATTGGCCAAAGGATCAGTGTGATGTGATTTTTAATAAAAGACTTTTGCTGTATAGGCGATTGCTTGTTCTATGTAAGAAAAGATACAAGTGTGGTTATTTTACCATGCTGCTGTCTGAGAGGCACAGAGGATTGGCTCAGTCTTAAGCAACTGCACAAAAATGCTTCAGTTAACGTCAGTAATAGCGACTGAGCAGCACGCCAGAACCTTGAAGTAGCTAGTGGCCTAGAAGGAATGCCACTGGGTCACACACGTACACATAAATACATGTACCTGTTCATCCATGATTTTACATTGGTAGCGATACAGGGGCATGACTTAAACCGTAATGCAGTCAGAAAAAGGGTTTCTCTGACTAAACAGTGTATTGATTCTGGTCTTGGCTATAGAAGTACTGTAAGCAGTTAGACATCGACAAACATCGTTGGCTATAGTCCTGTTTTACGCTAAAACCCCAAAATACCAGCAACATTCTGACAAAGAAGTGAAAATACTTTCAATATAACATCTGTTCAAATCGTTTCAACACTTCAAGCAGCTTAAATAGTACTAACTAACTTTCTGCTGATGAAGTAGCTAGTCCGTTCTCTTTAAAATGAGTGTGTTCTTGCTGCGTCTTCTTCCACCAAAACCTTGGAAGCACATTTTGGGCTCTAGCCCAGAGCAACACCTCTGTTTTTAGCTAAATAAACCAATCTATTTGAACCCAGAAGCACAAGATGACTCGGAGTAAGACCAAGTTGTTACTTTTGATCAGAAGTGTCCTGGTTCTCACTAGCAGTTCTTCAGTTACCTATTAAGATTTTTCTTGGAGGTGTTTGTAATAAAGTGCACTCTGACCGGAAAACCAATTGTAATTGTCCCTTTTAATACTATGATCTCAAAGTATCACGGTCACCTCTGACACACGGAAAGCTTTGGCAAATTTAATACACTGCTAGCCATATTGGTTAGTTCCTAAGTGGAGAGCAAATGGTACGCTTCCTTCTAGCCCCCTGTGAGCATTTAACTCATCAGCTCAGTGACATTTGTAATAAATATTCATATTGCTGTGTTTGCTGAGGTAGAGGCACAGAGAAGTAATAATAAAACCACTTCTCCAGTGCATTAGCAACTTCAAAACACTAAGGTCTGATGAAGATTTATTTAAACTAGAATTAAGATTGCAACACAATGTTTTTGCTGCGGTTTCACTGAAATCAAAGACATCTCGGGATCTACATACTAGGAAATTCACAGTAGGGATGCAGCTAACCACTAAAATTAGCACATTGTAAGCAGCTTATGATTCGTATTTTTCCACTATGCAGAAGCCTATGAGAAACAGCGGCCCTTCTCAAGTGTCCAGGTGTCATACCGGGTGTCCATTCTGCAGAAGGTAGAAGAAGACACGGCGTACCTGGAAAGCCGTATCTAAGCAGTTTAAGTGAGGAGAGGAAGTGCCCACAGTACCATTCCCTCGAAACAGAGCACCGCGGTTGCAGGCAGCAGGAGCATTCTCATTTAGAGTAACAGGTATTCAGTTTTACGCACGTAGTGTAGTTCAGAACAGTGGTAAGCCAAATAGTTAAGATTTCAGTCTTGTAAGATATTTATA